GTGAGACTCTATTGGTGATAAATTATGTCAGTTTCCATTGTGCCGAAAAATGTCTTTATTTCATTCCATTTTGAACAGTGGTTTCTCTAGTTGTACAATTCTAGGTTGATATCTGTTTTCTCTCAGAACTTTGAACACATTTCACTGACTATGGGTTTCATTATTACTATTGAAAGCCAACTATCATTCTAATTGTCACTCCTTTGTATGTAATGTGAGTTTTTCTACCCCCACCCTTTCTTCACTCTTTAACTTGTTCTCTTTGCCTCTAATGTTATGTACTTTCACATAATTCTTCCTGCTTGGAAAAGAAGAATACATAGACCATCATCTCAAGTTCAGGGCCCTTGTTTTCTTATTCGTGTCTGTATTATTAGCCTTAACACAGGGCCTAATGCATAGTAGGGATACAGTAAATATTTGATATTTAGTGATACATTTAGACATAATTGTAATCAGTTATAAACAATAAGGAAACTCATATCTTGTCTCAGATGTCCTCAATAGTAGAATATAAAGGAGGAAAATGAATTTTGGTTACTAAATTGTTTTTAAGGACCAGGTTACTTATTTTCCCCTTTAAGGAGTGCTTAACTTGACTTCACATGCCAAACTTCCAATGAAAGTTTGGAGTCCCAGGAATTGAATGTTAAAGAAATTAGGGTAGAATACATTTTGAATGCTTTATAATCATTAACAACAAATAATAATTAAACTACACACACAGTGTGACTCCCTTAATTTCAGTCAAACTCATTCTTCAGAGCATGACTGAGACGAAACACAAATGCTTCAAGTTTTGCAATTTTTCAAAGATCAGATGATTGGCACAGAGGGAGAAATATTTCATAGTGGGCATGTTTATTTCTTTCCTCTTTCTGTCCTTTGGCCTATCATTGTATCCTCAACGCTTTGCACCAGCACACACTCACAATAACTAGCCCCTGCTATGAAACATGGCTTGTTATTCCCTGGCTCTGTGGGTTTTTTACCCTTCCTGAACGCCTTGACAGGGTTGGCGTCTCTGAGTTCTCTTCTGATGACTTTACCAAATGTATTTGGCATGGGCTGTCACTGTAAATTCTGTTTCTGCCATGATACCTGTACAGCCATGGGCAAGGTATTTCACCTGTCTGAGTTTTAGTTTCCTTATCTGTACGATGAAGATAATAATCGCTGCCATATGAGTGACGATGGAAGGTGTTGTGTATAAAGCACAGGACTTGGTGTGTGATGATCACTCATTAAGTGTCGGTTTCCTGTTCTCTCCCAAGTCTTCCATTTACCTTCAGGAGCAGGGATGGTGGCAAGTGTAGAATCCCTAGAGATTGTTTTGATGCAGCTCGCTATGCAGACAGCTGACGCAAGTGCATGTCTGAGCTGAACAAATACAAGGATTACAGTGACTGTCCTTATGAGGATGGCAGGAGGTCGTGACTAATAATTCTGGGAGACCTTATTTGTTTTAGGTGTTGGCAGCTCTGGACCGATGTGGTAAAGATGCTAGGAAGGCTTATGTCCTGCAACGTGCTGACTGGATGTTTGCTGATTTTCCCCGTCACATGTGAAACTGCTGTCATGTGCTGGCTACCTCATCCAAGCCAGACACTTTATCCCACATGTGTAGAAAATGTAAAATAAAGCTGCTGCGTTTTTGCCACGCTACTGCAAGATGGCTTTCAGTCAGCCATTTCTATTGCTGCCCTTGTTTTTGATTCTTTTTGTGTAAACAATTCCCATGGCTGAGGTTCATGATTAAAAAAATAATCACAATTACGGTACCAGAAAGTCAATATTAGAGGGTTTTCAGGCCAGAAAGTCTATGGTACAATGACTCGATTTTTCCGTTGTAGCAAAAACAGCAGCAACTGACGATTTGTAGCCAAGTTGCCATGGCAGTGTGGACGCTGCATTTTGAATGTAATTTATATAATTTCCATGAAATAGATGGTCTCCCCATATCCAAGGGGAGTGCACTCTAAGGCTTCCAGTGGATGCCAGAAACTTGTTACTATTGAAAGCCAACTATCATTCTAATTGTC